TATCTCAATAGTATATAGTTAAGAACAAAGCGATTAATAGTGCAATACTCATAACGTCCAGACAGTTTGAAAATGCCCAATATGAGTAGGCAACAATGATAAAACTATTGAAATCATAAATTGACCGGGTTTCGGGTGCTTTCGTGTGACCTCAGTCGCCCTTGACCCTGGGTGCTGGAAAGCACCCAGGCCGTCGGGAATCAAAAAACATTTAATTTAAACGCGATAAAATCCGTAAAAGTAGTTTTAATCAAAATAAGTTAGGTTAGCTAGTGACCAGACGTTTTTACTAATATTTCATGTAACTACTTCTGGTAAGTTTAAAATGCTTGTGTAATATTGCCGGTCTCGAACCCACGATCTTTTGAGTTCGCTGTCCGTACCATGCCAATGGGCTACTGTCGCCTAAATGTGATAAGTAAGGAAGTTTAAATCATTATTAATTACGTAGCCTTATTTGACTTGTTATTATTTATTATTCCCCTTTGTGAAATATAGTGCCCTGTGAAGACTTGGTCCATAACACATAGGTATTGCTGGGTATAGATTTATACGTGGTAGAGCCACGCTGCAGCTATATATGGTTGTAGCACGAATGAACCAGGAAGGATAATGGGAAGAACCACGCTCTTATAGAATACCAGCGTAAAATAGCAGCTTAATACTACTGTGTTTCGTATGGTGTAGAGATCCGGAGACCCTTTCATACTGGAAACGAGGCATTCCATCTTAGTCCTCAGGGGAGACAACGGATCTGCGTTTTGATTCTTAGTCTAGGATAAATGTAGATATCTATGGGCCACAGCATCTACTTACCATCAGTTGGACCGTGTGCTCGTTTGTCACCCTTATTTTATAAAAAAAAAAACATAATACCGGGTATAGATTTTTGCCACAACAGGAATATCGGGCAAGTGGGATTGATAGCTACTGCAACGTTATATCTAGTTAAGTAATCAAAATGGTACGACTAAATTTATAATGCAACGTTAATACAACAAAGGTTAAAAGAAACCTACTTCGGCTTCTCTTATTTCCATGCTCGTTTTCATGAATGAAGACAGGAACAATGCGCGGATTACTGGGCCGCCGGAGTATCCACATTTCTCCGCAACAATGGACTTGTATCAATGAAATTTCTTTGCGAACATTGAAATAATGGAGTCACATTCTTCTCCGAGCGTACCGTTCTAATTCCGCTGTTGTAAATATTTGTGAATGAAGCTTAGCTCTGAATTTCACCGGTCTTAGCGGGAACTGCTTCACTCAAAATTCTACGTAATAATATTTTATTTCTTTTAAATTTATACCTTTAAACCTTATTACTTGCTATCATACATTATATTGCACTAACTATAGTTAAGTACAGACTTAATAGTAATTAATTTTTTACATGTGACAAATACAACATACTTAATCTATATATTATTAGGTACGTGAAGGGAAACCTGGTATATCTTTTTATGCATACTGCGCGCACTAAGGAGTTTGAGATTTGACATAGTTACAGTTTATATGGATTAGGAGTGCAGAAAGCTTAAAATTCATGAATTATATTATGAAATAAAACATTCGTTTTTTATGTTCATACTTCCATACAACACTTTTAGGTACCCTCTATTATACGAGTATATGTAGGTGAAAGAAGATCAACTTAAGATTCACTCATGATGGATGGCGCAAATATTTTAGATAAAATACAATAATCAGATTCTTAGTTTTTTTTTTTTTTTTTTGCGCCCGAAGCAAATATGGGCAACCCTCCGGAAAGCGGGAAAGGTTGAGAATGCTCATAGCATACCAGCGCCGCTGCGTGGTTAGTGGGATTTACCCTAAACTCAACCTTGGGAATTGGCTTAACGATCTGACTAGAGATCTCTAAGCCGTATACGAACGCGACCCTCCTTGGCAGAAAGGAGGGCGCAAGCAGAAAGGAGGGCGCAGATCGTTAGCTATTCGTCGAAAATATATGGCACGCTTCCTGATGTTAACAACGGTTGCCATTGCACACATCCTAAAAAAAAAGTTAAATAAAAGCAAAGTATCTCACAGAACACCAGCGCAAATTAGCTGCCTAATACTACTGTAGTTCGTATGGTGAATCGGAGACCCTTTTTACTGGGAACGAGACATTCCATCTTAGTTCTCACAAGTGACAACGCAGCTGCGTTTTGATTCGTAATCAAGGATAGATGTATAGGTCCATGGGCCACAGCATCTACTTACCATAAGGTGGACTGTGTGCTCGATATGAATTGCTACACATGTATCCATCGATCACTAATAAAGAACGAAACGAACGAAAAAAGAAATTATTAGTGATCGATGCATGTATCGATGTTTCAATAAAGACAAGCTCAGGCCTAATACTAAACTTCTAATGTCTTGCTTACTGATACTACACCCATCCTGGGTTAAGTATGACTAAACTACAATCTTTTTCATATAACGGTGAAACACAATTCTACCTGATGGTAAGCAGATATTTTATTTCATATACGCCTACACTTATCCTTGACTCCAAACGAATCGAATAAATGAAGAGAATCCAAACGTTGCTTGCTAGATGCGTTGTTACTCCTGAGAACTGAGATAGAATGCCTCGTTACCAATACAAAGAATCTCCAGGTCCATACACTCACCATAACAATTAGCGATGTTAAGCTGCTATATTACTCAGGTATTCTGTGAGAGCGACCTTTTCGTGCTGTTATAGCAATATTCATATTCATTTAATACGTAATAAAATTACACGTCACCTGACTACAATATGTCAGATTAATTAGAGTATAAATCGCCAGTTATAATAAGATAAAAAAAATATTATATTACCCAGTTAAGGGAAGATTCTGTTGGCAGGATTTCCCAAACACCAATAAAATAATAAGTGCGGTGGGTAGATGTGCAATGACATGTATGTTATGCTTATGTCTCCAGTCAAGTTCAGGTAACTAGGTGTAAGTCATTATTTTATACATTTAATATTATAGTACTGTATCCCGAGTTTTTGTATTTTATGTATTCATAATTACTATGTAACTTTTTAGAAGCATGTGATTGTATACCTTTAACTGAGTTGAGAAAGACTGACTAACGGCCTTACTAATAAAGATTTACACACGACGTATACCAGAGTTATAACGTTAACATTACCAATAAACGACATTTGACAGTTAAGTTGTATACATCTGTTATAACGAGTGTATAAATTGTATGGGAAATTACGCAACCGTTATACAGTTCTCAACCTTTGTTTAAGACATATATATGTATAACCTCTATTGGCGTGTGGCGTTTTTGAAAATAATGGATTATTTACAATATTTCGATATTTTTGATGAAATCGACCGTGAGGAACCACCAAGAAAAAGAAAACTTTACAAAAAACGTTTCGATCCCTTTACTCTACAAGATAAAGAATTTCGAATGAAATATAGATTCAGTAAAGTATATATGAGAAAAATAGTTGACTTAGTTCAACGTGACATCGAACTACAAGCTAGTGGTAGCGGGCTGTCTGTAGAACTTCAGGTATGTACTGCTCTCAGAACGTGGGCTAGGCAAGAAGTTCAAGATGATGCAGCAGACATTCATGGACTTAGCCAACAGTCCATCACGAATATATGCCGAAGAGTAGCTCTTGCTTTGGCAAGTAAAGCGGCAGAATTTATACGCATGCCTAGTACTTTAGAAGAGCAAGAACAAGTGGTTTCTGGATTTAGGAACATTTGTGGCTTTAAGCAAGCAATTGGTGCTATTGATTGCACACACATAAAGATTAAAAAAGTCGGAGGCGATAGTGCTCAATATTATATAAACAGAAAGGGGTTTTCATCCTTAAATGTCCAAGTAGTTTGTGATACCCAATTAAAGATAAGGGACATAGTGGCACACTGGAGGGGCAGCACACATGATGCAAGAATATTTAGAGAAAGCCGAATCCGACAACGATTTGAAAATGGGGAATTTCATTCTCCTTCACTAGGAGATTCTGGCTACGGTTTAACAAATTATTTATTTACACCAGTCCAGAATCCTCGTATCGCTAAGGGAATCTTACAATAAATCACATATATTGACAATAAATACAATTGAAAGGTGTTTCGGAGTTTGGAAACAGAGGTTCCGATGTTTATTACTTGGATTTAATGTGTCACTGGAAAATGCAAAATTATACATTGTTGCGCTTGCAATATTACACAATATTGCCATTGAAATGAATGAAGGCATTGATTTTCTTGAACAAGTCATATCTGAAGATAATGGTGACCAACAAATGCTAAGGGAAGGTCTCGATAGCCGATCTGTTCAAGAAACAAGGAGATTATTCATTGAAACACACTTTTAGTTACAAAAATGTTTTGTTAATAAATAAAATAAAAAAATAAAAAAAATCAATTTATTTCAGAGTCCATATAAGTGACATACATTATAATAAATTTAATTTAATCTTATTCAATTTAACTTAATTTGATTGTTTAACATAAAAAACTATTAATTTAACATAAAAAAGGTAAAAGATATTTTATTGTGGCAATTTTGATTTTAAAAGTAAAATTTCTAATTTAAGTTTTTCAACATGAAGCTGCGTTTCTTCTTTTTCCAATAATATCTTTTGGATTTTTAAATTATGTTCCTCTTTAATAAAACTATGAGCTTCCATCATATTTTTCATTTTTAAATCATGTTCTTCCTTTACACAACTGACAAGAACATGATTGCGCTCTCTGGTTAAGTCTATCCTGTAATAAACATGTTATTATTAATCACAAATCAGTAATCCCATAATTTAGTTATACTTAAATTAAACTACTTATTAAAATTAAATTAAATTTTACCTCACGTTTGGTTGTGTGTATATTATCATTCATATGATTGAATGATAATTTCCGTTTCGTTCTATCTTTTTCATTTTGCATCTTGAAAGGTAGTGGTGTAATATTCTGGAATATTAACAAAAGTCATTACTAATCAAAGTAAATTCAATCAACAAATTTAAACTAACAATCCTCTTGCACATTATCATTATTATCTCCTGGAGTGATAACATACTCTTGTGTTATTGTATTAACCGAGGACTTCTCCTGACTTTGAACCTCTGGATGCTAAAATAAAATAGAATATCACACACTGATGTCATAATCGTAAGATATAACATACTCATTCTGATACTAAACATTGTGTTAGTGCTAAGACAAAATAATTACAAAATATAGTATGAGCTCACTGTTATGCTGTCACTGTCGAAGACATTGAAATCCGTCTCAAATTCCTGTGGAATCATGCTCAAAATGTCAATGGTTTCCGGGTCTGGGCTAAGAGATTTAGGCCCTCCACCAGTACATTTGATAGATGTCTTTACTTGTGACATGTTTTTTTTGGCATCAAGTTTCATTGTGCGCCACTGTTGCTTTACTTCAGCCAATTCTCTTACCCGGCTATTCAATTCACTAAAACTGAAAATGTTTCAATCACAATATGCATAGTTTAATGTATACAATATTAATAAAACTTACACAAAACTAACAAATAATAAACATTAAAAATATTTAAATATATATTTACACTAAAATGAAAACATACTCATTTAAATAAAATGAAATTAAAATATCTTACATATACTATAATAATTAACAACTTATCAAATTATACCTTACAAATAACACATCTAGTTGGTTAACTAACACTTAGGGGTTATTTTACTGGGAGTTTGACTGCGCTTTGATTTTGGATGTACATATTAGTAAGCGCCTATGAAATATTCTAATACTAGCATCAGCTTTTTTAGTATTTTGTGCAAGATTTTATATTCATATTTATACTTAACATAAGTCCACAGATAGTTTATGCCTACTCAAGGCACATGTCACTTTCTTTTGTTTCTCAGTAAGTGAGTGTAAACTACAACTTGCATACAATAAATATGAAACAAAATTCATAAAATGTAGTATTTTACTAACCTTTTCATCACTTTCTGCCAAGCAATGGTCTTACTTTTATTAGTATTTGTATCAGTGTTTTTATTTTCTATGACGGATACAAACTCCTTCATACAAATTTTTAATAAACAGTAGTATTTAAGAAACAGTATATATTTTTAAATGTTTTTTCTAGTAAATTATCTTACCTTTTCTAATGCATCCCAATTTGCAGACCGTTTTCTTTTGACAAAGTTTAAATTACTATTAGCCATTATTACAGAATTTGCGATGTTTTTAACATTATAGCTGCTATATTTTTTATGATCAATGATTAACGAATTATTAAACCCAAACAACAAAATTGACGAATGACGATTGAATTGGAAACTGTCTGAAAGGTACGTTCATAAACTTATGACGATATATGGCTTTGTCAAAATAATGTTCAGTTTTTATCGCCTAAAAACATTAGATTATTTCTAAATTTAATTAAACAATGTTTTGGGCTAAATTTATGTGTCATTAATTACAAAAAGAGAATTTATAAGCTATTTATGTGTTTTCAAAATGTCTCTACAATTTTACAATTGAGTTTCAAAACGTTTTTGATGAATGTTGCCAATGGTTTTTATTTTAGCGAGTCTATAACTATACAACGGTTATACACCCGTTATTGGTAAAGAGCGTGTGTAACTTACCCAAAGCTTATACAATGTATAAGTACACACCTGTTAAACAGATGTTTTAGATATTTTTATTGGTAAGACTGTTAGTGTCTAAATCGATTCTGCATGCAACATTGTTACGTGAGCGTACGTTGGTGTACTCTAATTAATAAATAAGTGAAATTATAAATTACAAAATAGTATTACCTACTAGCGATTGGTTTTCATGGGTTTTAATTTTTTTGCGCAGAACCCTAATTATCTCCCAATGAAAGTCCTGTCAAAAACGGTCCAGGAATTTTGGAAATTAACCGGAATTAACAAATAAACAGATAGACAAAAATTAAAAAAAAAATTTTTGGTTATAAAGACCGTAAATACATTCACAATTTGCATTTAGTAAAAAAACTGTTATTTTCACATTACAAGCAGACACTTCAATGTTATTTATTTGAGTAAAAATTAAAAAATAAAATATTAAAAAAAAATTAAAATTATCTACAAATGCCGAAAAATATTACGTACCTGCGACCTTAATAACATGGAAGTCATAAACTATTAATTATGCGTCATATTTATGAATTTGACTTAACTGTACAAAGGCTATGGGTAGCGCCCATTATATTCAAAGGGATAGATTGTACGGTATGGCCTAGTTTGTTGGAATTAGGTATGTGGATGACAGACTAGTAAGTTTGTCTGCTTGGCGGGTGATATTTGAAAGATTGTCAGATTTATAGGTACCTCTTTAGTAGTAAAATAGATAAATTTGAATTTCTAAGCGACCATGCAAAGTTTAATAGAAGTTGCACATAGAATAATTATTGCTTTGGGTTAAATTACTCACCCGTCCAACTACGGGCCTATCGCCATTACCTCCTTGTTCTCCAAAACAATGGAATCCATTGTAAACTGCCAGCTCATGAGGTACCTTAAAGATCACCAGCTGATTAGTGACCGCCAATACGGTTTTCGCCGTGGTCGGTCAGCTGGTGATCTTCTGGTCTACCTAACTCACAGATGGGCGGAGGCAGTAGAGTCCAAGGGGGAGGCATTGGCCATTAGTTTGGACATTGCGAAGGCCTTCGATCGGGTTTGGTACAAAGCGCTTCTTTCGAAGCTCCCTTCCTATGGGCTTCCCGAGAAATTGTGCGATTGGATCACCAGCTTTCTTGCAGATCGGAGCATCAAGGTCGTTGTAGACGGTGCAAGCTCCGATTGCAAGCCTATTAATGCTGGTGTTCCACAGGGCTGCGTGCTATCGCCAACGCTGTTTCTTCTGCATATCAATGATATGTTGCAAACCCGTAACATTCATTGCTATGCAGATGACAGCACTGGTGATGCTCTTTACACCGGTCGAGCCAATATTTCTCGGGAAAATGTCTCCGAGTGCCGGAACAAACTTGTGTCTGAAGTCGAGTCTTTGCTGAATAGAGTCTTGGATTGGGGGCGACTAAATCTAGTCCAGTTTAACCCCCAAAAGACACAAGTTTGCGCGTTAACCGCTAAAAAGAACCCCTTTGTCGTATCCCCTCAGTTTCAAGGCACTCCCCTTGTTTCCTCAGCCAGTATCGAAATCCTCGGTGACGTGCAGTTTCTTGGTCACTTGGAAGGGAAGGCCAAATTGGCCTCTAAAAAGCTTGGCGTGCTCAGCAGAGCGGGACAGTATTTCATGCCGGCACACCGCCTGCAACTTTACAAGGCGCAGGTTCGGCCGCACATAGAATACTGTTCCCATCTCTGGGCTGGGGCTCCCCAGTACCAGCTTCTTCCACTTGACCGCATCCAGCGCAGAGCGGCTCAAATCACTGGCACTGCGAAAAGATGTTGCATCTCTTTGCATTTTATTTCGCATATACCATGGAGTGTGCTCTGAGGAATTGTTCGGATTAATCCCAGCCGCCAAATTTCATGAACGCACTACGCGGCAAACTTCCCGATACTATCCACACCATCTGGGTGCTTGGCGGTCCACCATAGTACGTTTCAAAAGGAGTTTTCTTCCGCGTACAACCTCTCTGTGGAATAGTTTACCACCGGCGATTTTTCCGGACCGATACCACCTGGGACCTTCAAGAAAAGAGCTTACTCCTTTCTAATGGGCCGGCAACGCACCTGCAATTCCCCTGGTGTTGCGGTTGATCATGCGCGGCGGTAGTCACTTAACATCAGGTGAGCCGCATGCTCGTTTGCCCCCTCTTCTATAAAAAAAACCGTCTGAGCTTGGTCACTTAAAATCTATTTTAAAAGACTTTTTTTTCCTTTATCGGAACTAAAAAACTGTAACATTAGTTTAGATATATTTTTACTATTTGTTTTGTAATATTACAGTAGACATTATTTCATTGAAATTTTATTAGGAGTCATATTTTTTTACGTAAGTCTCAATTTCTATCGAATTACACAGTTATGATATTTATTGCTGTTGGCGACGCGCCTATAAAAATGTTTCAGTTTATTAAATCAACCGATGACGTTGCTATGAAAAAAGGGGTAGTCACGAGCAACGACGCTCTGATAAGAGAATGCTTAGTTAAATCGTTAAGAAATGTCGAATTAATGATATGAAGGTCTTGGGTTCGACTCCCAGGCCGGACTAGTTTGTTTGTTTTCCTAAGTAATATCGCTTAATAAATTCGTAAGGAATTTAAGATATAAATTATGTTACCGGATTTGTTCCCCGGTCGAGATAATCACTCTGTGCATAGGCAGAATTAATGGATATTAATTGCATAAATGTTGTTTTGTATAAGTTTGATACGTTTTGTACGAAAACAAATGCCTATTTGTTATGATTGATTAATGAGAACATTCATTTATATTGTTATCTGATTAAAGATAGTTTCATACAGTTCGAAAATTGTATAAAAGCATTTAATTTGCCTAATATGGTCAAAATTGGTGTATTTCATAATTTAATTTTTTCTGATAGCCGAGAGCCGTGCAAAAGTTAGTTGTTCACATAGCGTGAGTACACAGAAGCACGCTGGCCACGCCCTTAGGAGGCCGAATATGTAAAAATTTAAAATGTTTGTAATTCAGTGATTTATGTAAAAATTACTTGTAAAATATTTCAGGTTAATTGTACGTGCTAAAAAGGTAAATTCTGTGTTATTTTCATGTGAAAATTCCTGTGTATAAGTGAAATAATGATAGTTTTGTATAAGAAATTTAAAAGTGTTTTAAATAGTGAAATAAATAGAAAAAATGTAAATTAAACTATTGTATTGGTTAGCTTATGTATAAATTCAAGTGAGAAACATTGTTTTAACTTTCTGTGTTAAATATTTAAGAAATTTCGATTTCGAACTTGTGAGTAAAATAGGCAGTTTTCGTTTAATAAATAAAAGGTTTTTTATGATATGAAGATATGATGTATATCATGGTGTAGATATTGTTTTGTACTACCTATATTGATAAATTGTATTTGTATATGATTTGAATAAATAAAGATATTGAGTAAAACGTGAGAGAGTAATAGAACAAATTCATGTAATTGAGTTGCGCAAGCGCGCGAATGGCGCGGCTCACTTTCGCGTATAGCTCTGGGGTAGCTTAGTGAACGGGTTTTATTGCAATTCGTTCGGGAAGTTCGGGAATCCTTCGGGAAGTTCGGGAATCCTTCGGGGAAGTTCGGAAATAGTTCGGAAATAAATAAGAAAATCCGAGAAAAAGTTCAAGAAAAGTGAAAAACCAGCAGTATAGGGAAAAGTGATTACTCTCTCACGGAACGGTTTGAAGATAATTGCTGTTTCATTCCCAAGATCCTTTAAGTTATACAGTCCACATCGAAGAATTAAGGCGTCGGGACCGGGACGACTTCGGAAGACCCGTAATCCCCGTCTGAACCTACTTGCTGAAAAGGAAGAGGTTATCGCCCTAGTGTGTTACTCCGTTGCGGAGATCACATACGTTGTTCCCGAACCCAACGTAGGCGTGATAGGAGGCCGGATCGAGAGAAGCCTCGATTCCTGTTTCTTAGTACCCGATCCGCTAGGTCCTTTTCAATTGGTCCTTTTCAGGATCAAGAGGGACACCGACCTGGTCCTTTTCAATTGGTCCTTTGCGGCCGATTGAGAGGACGCCCGAACCTGAGTTCCTTTTCAATTGGTCCTTCGGAGCCGGATTGAAGACCACCCGAACCCCGCCAGCTGGATCAAGGAACCAGCTGTGGACTGCTGGTTGTGGAAGAAGAAGACCTTCGGAAGCCGAGTGAAGATCAGCAACCGAAGGAAGCCAGAGGTTTGAGCTGAAGCAATAGGACCAAAGGCCTGAAGACCAGGACGGCAGCACTGAAGGGCTGGACCTGGAACTACCGGAAGAAAGAAAACCGGGATTGCAGCTTGGGGCGTGTGCTCGCATGGGGCACATATCGCAGCCGGGCGCAGGTGTCTTGTGAAGGCACTCATCGTGGCCAAGCAGGGCTTGGCATTTTTCCTGTCGGGCAAGCGTGCTCGGCATTTCCTGTCAGACGATCGTGTCTGGCATTTCCTGTCAGACGATCGTGTCTGGCATTTCCTGTCGGACGACCGTGTCCGGCATTTCCCGTCGGGTCATCAGGGTGCAAAAAGCATCCACCGCTGCTGCTGCCGGGCGAGGGTGCG